CTGCAATCACATATATATGGTTGAGGGGAGTCCCACTGTGATTGTGAGATGTGATCGTCTCGTGTTTATTAACCCTTTTATATATATATATATATATATATATATATATATATATATGTACACCTCGAGTGTCCGCACGACATGGTGTGAGCGCGTGCGAGGATTGAACTGATTTTGTGTTTGAGAGGGGAGAGAGATCCCCTTTTACCCTTTGCTTTTTAGAATTATTATAGTTGGATGTTCGAGTCTGTGACAACCGTCAAAATCAAACCCCTTGATTTCTCGCCAGGCTCTAAATGATGGAGCTCGTCTCCAGGGCGATAAAACCCGACTGCCACAACAGGCAGAAACTTGTGTACCACCCACTCTTCGCAAGGTGCAGAAGAGGGTATGGTTTTCAACCGCCTTGGTGGTTGTCTATCCTCGAGAGATTAACCCCTCAAGGTGCGTGTCAGTCGACACTTGAGTGTCGAAAGTGACCCTTGAGACCACTGAGGACCATGTGATTATGGGTACTACATAATACTCCATCGTTGCGATTGCTTGCGTAAGTTTGTATGGGTAGTCGATATGAGAAAGTCCTGCGTCTGCGCGGTTTTATCTTAAGTCTCGCGCGTGACGCCTAACCGATTTCCGTACCAAAAGGTTATGGGTTAGATACTGAAGAGACTAGGAGTGTTTGTTTGTGTGAGTAATTTGATTTTATGTTTTTAGTGTAGTGTAACGCGTGGTAAGAAGGATGCGTCCTAATCGACCGACGACGAGTCGCGCTCGGGACTTCAGGCCCCCGATGCGTCGGTTCACGTACGGGTCAGATAGAGGCGTCAGATCTCGCGTACTCCCTATGCTACAGCGTACGAGAAACGCCCTCGCTGGACCACCTCTGCGATTGCAACTGATTAACTTTCATACGTGGTTCAATAGCTCGGCAGGGATACACGCACCTAAGGGATGGTGACAGCTCCCGCAGGTGGAGGTAAGTTGTACCTCGCGTGGTGATATCCTATCGTAGGGGTTCGCGAGAGGTATGGTTGGCGCACTCGGTCGGAGCGGCGACAAAAACTTCATTTGCACCGCGACAAAGGATAAAGACTTGCACGAAATCCTGCGTGACATAGACGGGAGGGTACCCCTGCGGGACCGATGCGCACGACAACGACTACATACTACCCCCTGTTGTGGTCCAATAATGCATGCAGCCCAGACCTTTCCTCCTCTCTCTCCTTCTCCTCCCCTTTTTCTTGCCACCACTTATCTCACGCATGCATGCAAGCGACATCTCGCAAACAAAGTTATCTCTCTCTCTTTTCACGCAACTAGCCAGCTCAGAATGAGTGGCTGATGGTTTTGGTGGTTGGTGGGTCGAAATGGCTCGATGCATCAATCATGGTTGGGCAGAATCGCCACGTCACTGCGACAGATTGCAAGGGGTGTGTGAACTTGCACGGTTGTCGGATTTGCGGCGTGACGATTACCAAGGTTTTTGTGGGTGCCCAACTTATGGAGTGATTGATGGGTAGTTCAGTAGGTTTTCGGTAGTGCACCATGTGTGTGAGAGTGGGATGGCGTACTTACCTTTTCCTTGTGTTTTTGTTGATGGCCGAATACTTCTCGACTCTATGGTTTTATCCCGGTATTGGTTCTATGTATGGTAGATTGAGTCTAACGAGTGAACTAATTGGAGTATGTTTGGATTATGTGACTGTCTGTCTTTGTGATTATGGAAGTTGTTTGATGGATTGAAGCATATGTGATGAGGTTATTTTTTCTCCCTCGTTCACATAATTGAGATTTGTGAGTGCAGGCATGGATCTTTTCCATTCTTGGTTAATCACGGCCGCGGTCGTGGGTGTGCATGTTTAAATTTCATGTGTATGATTAGGGTTTTTTAACATGACCTTCAATTTTGTGCGGACAAATGTGTCTGATCCTCCCTATGCGTGCAAGTATCCAATGTTCGCTTGCTCGTTTTCCCTTAAAATGAGCAGTGGACGAGTGTATATGAGTGGGATGTGCACGAAGCGACGACGGGGATGTGTCGGTCACATCTTTTCCAAAGCTAATATCAGTGGATGGGCTTTGTGCAATCGGATTTTGTGATTGTGGAAGTTTTTTTTTCCCATTACTTGCTCATTTTGCCATATCACGAGCTCACTCTCTTTTGAGGTCCTCCCTCCATCGTTATTACGAGTCGCTGCCACAAGAAATTGAGCTTTTGTTGATTTGGTCCATGGCATTAAGGCTTGCTGGAAGGCGAATTGATTGTGTGGTTGTGTGGATGATTGCCAATTGGTAATCGCTAGTGATGTCATCGGAAAGTTGAGAGGTGACGTATTGTTTGTTGGTTGTGCGACAACCTGCCTGTTAATTTGGACGGTTATAGCCACACTGCCGCGATCCGGCCCCTGGAACGAACGTTGTTGCCCTCGCTTTGTTGAGTCAGTTTAGGAGAAGGTGGCCCTAACTTCCTTCTACATTCTGCTTGAGTCTCGTACTCTTACGGACAACCTTCCATCACAGTACACACCGTGTCACACCCCTACTTCACACTCACTCCCTACAAGGACACTCACCACCCTCCATGGTGATGCCTACGTAGAATGATGCTTCCCCATACCCATCATCAGCCTACCTTGGCGGACAACCCTCGTGGACACCAGTCCCAGACACCAACGTTGGGCAAGTGGATTCAACCTGGATGAAGCACTCTCAAATGAGCCTCATCTCATGGGCATTTTGGAAGCTAGGAGTAATGAGGCCCCATGAGCCCGTTGTGTGCTACTTATCCAAGGGTTCATGCTTGGAATACCCCTACTTGAGCTACCACAAGCAGTGTATAATGGCCATTTGGCCAAGGTCTGACCTCTGGGAACCCTACCATAAGCCCTTCACCCCCATCTAGTATAGCCGCAATCTGCATATTTGTGTATTAGTGTCTGTGCTAGTCTGTAGTCTGTCAAGTTGTCCATATTCCTTACTTAGCTATGTAAACAGTTGATACAATGTGACACTCAACCTCACGCCCTGGGCGACGTCCTGATCGGAGTGGTAATAGGCTCAGAAGTGCGATTTTGGTGTGTGCTAAGGATTTTAGGAAAAGGGTTGGAGTCCCAGGTCGGAACCGAGATTTGCTGTGGTGGGTTTCACCAGACTGTACCCAGGAATTCGACCCACTAATCAAGGTTCCTCAAGACGTGGGGGCAAAAAGGCAATTACATCTTTTCCCAATTCTAGTTCTTCATCGTAATGCAGTGGTTCATAAGCGTCGCTGCCTCCGCCTTCCACAACTTAACGTCTTTGGAGTGTATGCGGGGTCTTGTTGGGCTTCACGCTTCTCCTGTGGGGTTTGCACAACTTGGAGCCCGAGGAAGACATCCTCAATCGAGTGTGCCTTGCCTGGTAATCTTCGTCACTGCGAACCCGGTAAACGAACCCGCTTTGCCGTTAGAAATCTTCAAAACGACATTTAGAGCCACCTAAGGGGAGTAGAATGGAGTACGGGGGAAAGTTTGTGTCAATGATGACAAATCTAGATCCGATGAAGGCCGAACAGTCCTTCCTATCCGGGAATCGATAAGGACGACTTATTTGAGTGATTGCTTCCAGATATACCACTCACAGACTCGTGGCTTGATTTTGTGATAAGGAAAAGGGGCCAAGATACTGCGGAGGGACGATAATCAAGCGGGTCAATTACAAGGAACTGTGTAAAGAAGTCCATAATCGCAAGACACACATGAGTCCAACGCAGTAGATGCAACCCCGATCATATTCGAGAAACTAATTGCTCATAAATGTATCTACATAATTGAATTGCAAAAACAACAATTTATTTTCTTTTTTTTTTTACATTTTCACAAGACTCCCATCCTACCACTCCAAATTTTTCTATCAGCATTCTGTAGAATAAAAATGGGTGAGTGACATCATTCAACCAATCCATGCAATGACATACATACCACCTGAATCATCAAGGAAGGATAGAGAAGAGTCAATGGTCAGATTTGACAGACATGAACAAAGATCATTCCACTTGAAACCAAGAACACACTGTAAGGTGAAAAATACAAAATCTATTTCTCTTTCTCTTCTAAGTTTTTTCCATATCCACACACAACAACGGTGCGAACCAGATTTCAACTTCGACACGGACAGCCCGTCGGCTTAATACACAGGCCATCAAACTTTCAAATTTCAAATGTCTTTTCACCCAAGTTGTCGCACAAGAACTTCCCACCACGACAAATGATACAAAATTAAAAGGTGAGAAAAATGTTGATGCGTCATCCAGTTTCTGCGCTCTCTGAGTAGGAAGTAGGAGCTCTAGAAGTAGGGAGGGTGAACGAAGCAGCCTAGAGGACAAGATGGTGCTCCAGGATAGGAACTGACATAGCCACAGCCCCAACAAACAGTGTTACAGTACTCATGAGATGTATCCAAGGGACACTGGGCCCGGTTTCCAGCCGCAAGTGTTGCTCCCGACGAATGGATGGAGCAACCCGACAGGCAAAGCCTCAATTTCGGTGGTTCTCTTACCACCACCGGAACAGAGACCTTGTATAAGGGTTTTTATTTAAACAAGTGGACCTGTTGTTGTCACACTGCTGCGACGGAGGAGAGGGACGAACAGGGGGGCAGGGCTGTTGTTGTCATACTGCTTGGGTTTTTTTTTTTTTTCCGTCATATTCGCTATACACTAAAAAAAAACATGATTGTGGCAGAGTGTTTCTGACCGATGAGGAAATTGTGTGTGTGTGTGTGTGTGTGTGTGTGTGTGAGAGAGACATAGAGACTCTCTCTCTCTCTCTCTCTCTCTCTCTCTCTCTCTCTCTCTCTCTCTCTCTCTCTCTCTCTCTCTCTCTCTCTCTCTCTAACACACACACGCGCACGAGCGCACGCTCAGGCACGACCAATTCAACAGTTTCATGTGTGCATCAACTGAGCAGCCTGCCAATGTGCAAAATGAGAAGGAACCTTCTTCAAAACATCGGAAAAAGAAATCCCGGTGCGAGTATGGACTAAGGAGCTGTCAGATGCAACCCCTTCCTGTTTCCCCTCCCACTACTTCTCCCGCTCCTTCTCCCACTCCTCCTCCCGCTCCTTCTCCCGCTCCTCCCACTCCTCCTCCTCCTCCCGCTTCTCCTCTGTCAAACAACGTGACAAAGATCCCGCCAGAGCTCCCGCTCCTCCTCCCTCTCCTCCCTCCTCTCCTTCTCCCGCTCCCCCTCTTGCTGCTCCTCCCGCTCCTCCTGCCGCTCCGCCTCCCGCTGCTTCTCCTGCTCTTCCCCCGTTCCTCCTCCCCCTCTTCCCGCTCCTTCTCCCACTCCTCCCGCTCCTTCTCCCGCTCCTCCCACTCCTCCTCCTCCTCCTCCTCCTCCTCCTCCTCCCCCTCCCGCTCCTCCTCCGCCAAACAACGTGACAAAGATCCCGCCATAGCCCCGCTCCCGCTCCTTCTCCTGCTCCTCCCTCTCTGTCTCCCGCTCCCCCTCTTGCTGCTCCTTCTCCCGCTGCTTCTCCTACTTTTTCCCCGTTCCTCCTCCCGCTCCTTCTCCCGCTCTTCCTCCCGCTCCTCCCGCTACTCCTCCACCTATATCTCCTCCCTCTTCTCCGCCTCCCGCGCATTCGTAAACCCCTCCCCATTTCCTTTCCCACTCCTCCTCTCGCTCCCTCTACGGTCCTTCCTTCCGCGTCTCCTCCGCCCCTTCCCGTTTCCCCTCATGCTCCTTCTCCCGCTCCTAACCCCCTCCCGGTTTCCCTGCCACTCGTCCTTCTCCCGCTCCGCCTCCCCCGGCTCCTCCGCCCCTTCCCATTTCCCCTCCCGCTCTTTCTCCCGTTCCTCCTCCCGCCTCTCTTACCACTCCTCCTTTTCCCACCCCTCCTCCCGCTCCTCCTCCGCCAAACAACGTGACAAAGATGATGTGATAAGCCAGGATCCGTACTCAGCGGCTTCCTGTACCCTAGCCGTGGCAAGAAGGGAAGATGGTGCGGGGATGCAAAGTGGGGGAACGGGTTTACGCGACGTGCAAAAATTTGAAAAATAGCCACTCGCGCCAAAAATCAAAATTCCTACCCACACTAATTCCTAACTTTTTCTTGGATTTCTCGGCATGGTCGCTAACCGGCCACGCGAGAAAGACATCAAGGGCAGTTATGAAAAAAAGAAAAATAAGTCTTTGTTTCGTCCCTCTTCTCTCTTCAAGAAGGAAGATGCATTTCCTTCTTGCTTGCATTCCTACCCACACTAATTCCTCTCCTTACCTATCATCACGAGCGATTGGCTGTGTAATTGGGATGGTTGGATCAATGTGGTGAGAGCGGAAGGCTCATACCACTTGAACGCCCACCCCAATCACATAGATCGTTCATCTCGCCTCCTTCGATCCTCTTGGAACCCCGGTCTTTCTTCCGTCCTGCTCATCTACACCCCATGCTACCCGCACCTCACGCTGGCACCCCACCGCCTTCCGCGCTATAAATTTTTGCAACCCCTTCCTCTCGCTCTCTTTGATCTCGTCTGCAAGCTGTGCGAGCTATGCGCAAGGTCCGCAGCGTCGAACAGGCTTGACGAGCCCAAGTGAAGCGGTGGTGGAGATCATACGCCGGCAGCGGCAGGGCCTTATGGCTATGGTTGTCGAAGGTTGTGAGGGATTGGGGGTTGGGCCCAGGGCGGCCAACTATGGGAGAAATTATGTGTACTAAGGACTCGCTTTTATCTCCATTGCTGCTTTGTTTCCGTGTGATGTGTGTGTGGTCCCGATGCATGGGTATTCTGTCGTATGCATGCGGTGGTACGAGAGTTTATGGATGATTGAATGTCTCATTGTCCAGAGGAGCTTGATGAGTGTGTGTGTGTGTGCACTCATAGGCTCGTTGGTAGGGATTGTTGGTTGTCGACCGTCTGCATGAATGCATGAGTGTGTTGGTCCCTCCTCCCTTCCTTGATCCCTCTTTCGTTCTTGACGCAGAGTGTACGCGCGGGACTTGCGCCAACCCCCTTTTTTTTCCTCTCTCTCTCCCAGCACGTGCAGATCGGGATCTAGGCGAAACGGGTAATTTCGCTCGGTAACTGGAGAGATCGGTCGTTCGTGTCTCCGCGACGCGGCTGATATCTCTTCAACTGAACAAACCCCGGATCCCGACTCCGCATTCGGGTTGACACACACACACACACACACACACACACACACACACACACACACACACTCACACACACACACACACAGAGCTAGGCGCACCATCTTTGTTTGTTTTCTTTATATTGATCTTTGTATGGAGTCCACGCTCGTCCCCACGGACGCAAGCACGGGCCCTTGCCTGTGCTCCACCTTTGTGCCGGTCTCCTGCAACGTGCTACCGTCCTTCCCGATCGCAGACAACGACAGCGTGTACTGCGACGCGGAGTTGCGGAGCGCTCTAAGCCGGACCGAGCAGATCCAGCTGCATAACCCTGCCATGGCCTGCCATATCGGAGGGAGTGGGTTTATGTTGATTGACCGGTTCTCTTCCCCTTGTGACGAACCACTTTCTGTAACGCGCGAGTTTCTGCGCAGTTGCAAGGAGGGGTCCTAAGCTGGGAAGATTGGGCCAATTACGGAAAATCGAGATCGGTGGAAAATTGTATCAGTAACCTTGCTTCTTCGTCTTTTTCGTCGCTTCTTCGGGGTTGGGTGTGTCCTGGGACGGCCGCCGGCCGGTGGATTGATTGGTCGGATGGTTGTTTGGTGCGACGCCACACGCGCGCACAATTAATATCGACGTCGTTTCTTTTGGTTCGGTTTCGATCTTTTGGGCGCGGACATCGCGCGGGAAATTGCTTCTTTGTTTTTTGAAATTCCTCTTGAATCTTTTTCGAATTTTGTCGAGCCCCCAATGGCTCTCGGAATTTCGTACTTTCCTTCTGAACTCGTGCTTCTTTTTGCTTTCTCGCATTAGATAGGAATTTAGGAATTTAGGAATTAGGATTTTCCCTGCTGCGTGGCGCCTTTTGTTTACGCGCTTCTTCATGCTGCTGCAACGGAACTCTGATTAGCAGGCGCCCTTAATCGCGTATGTAATTGTAATTTTGGGCGGACGCCATTGTAACTGTATCTCCCTTATTGCACTTCGTCTCTCCCGCCCTCCCTCTCTTTCTTTTGCTGAAATTTTGTAAGCCGCGGCTTGCATGCTCGGATCGATGCGTGGAGAAGGGTTACGTCCCCCACGCCGCGGCCGATCATGCAGAACACAGACATTCCCTCTCTAATCCTCACTCTAAGTCCTGGTAATTCCGTGTTCTTTGTGCATGCATGCACGCTATAAATTTCGGTTGTGCGATTAGTCAGCTCTCTTAACCGGTTGTTGGAAGCTCGGGGTTGCGCGATCAGGAAGGGTCGGCACACGAGCGAAGTAAGAGGTGAGTAGAGTAGGAGCTGGGCGACCCGATGGGCTGGTGCCGAACGCGCGGGATTGACGTGGGCCACGACGGACAGTGGGCACGGGTGAATCCGACGGGTGCGGGAGGACTAAGCGGGGTGACAACTTCGTGGGTTGGTGCGTGACGACAGACTGTCCGCATCGGAGAGAGAGAGAGAGAGGAAGAGAGAGTTGAGGTCGATGGACGTGGATTTGCTATTTCTTTGTCTCTTCCCCCTCTTCACTTGTGTACATACATTTTGATTGCGGCTCCGGGCGGTTTGCCCGTTCTTATTTTCGTTTCGGCTTTCTGAGACTTGGGCTTGTTTTTTTTGCTCACACTTGTCTTTGCTATGGCATTATGCGTATGATTATCAAATGTATGGATGTATGAATGTGTGGATGTGTGGATGTGTGGACGTTATGCCTGTCTATATTGTCCTTGCCTTTTGTTTGTGTCGAATCTTTGCCCACTCCTGATGCAGTTGTGGATGGGATAGGAATATGGCCCCGACAACGATTTTGTCCTCATTTTTGCTTATCTCACGATGACGGTTGTGATATGGTTGCATCTTGCATAAGCCGAAGCAATTAAACCGCGAACGCCGCGCGAGAACACGTGTAAACGCGATACGAGTCGCGCCCTTACACGCATTCCTGTGCGGCGACTCGCTGCCCCAGAAAGGAGTCACGGCGAAACCATCATCCCGTACGAGCACGCTGAGGGGCCACTGAGTCGGCCTGTCCTACACATGCTCGTGCGCGGTGACGATAACCCGACCCGCGCCTTCCCACCGGCAATGATACCATAACGCGATATTGGGGCTCAGACTCGTCTCATGACCCGGACTATTTCACCCCTATAATAAACAAGCAAATAAGGACCCGATACCCTTGTCACACGGAGAATCGGCTATGTCCGCGGGAATTCCACTGTGCCACCACTAGCGACCCTCGGTGCTCCGATTTCCCTTCCCCCGACCACACCTACTACTTCACCCACCCAGGACTTGTTGAGATTACCACCAGTTTCCCCCCTTTCCGCCTCCTTCTCCTGTACCATCAACTCAGTGTCGTTCCGTGGTCGGCCATAGCCCCCTATTGGCCCAATACGTTTTGCGTGAACTGCCGACGCAACGGCGCGCAGAGCACTCAAGAATTCCGAAGGCCCAACCCCGGCACGCGGCGGCCTGCGCCGCGTGGCGGCCCCCGACGGCCTAACTTTTCAGGACCACCTCCACCACGGAGGAATTTTCCCGTAACCCGTCGTCCAAAGTGTCCTGGTCCCATGGGACTGTGAGACCCTTGCATGCGCACCCCTCGTTTGCCCAATTACATTCATATCCTTAAGACTCCCCCACTTCCCCCAAAAATCCACCCTCCCCTGATACTACCCCACACGATCTCACAGTGTTGCCCTGGTCAGTAGCACACGCGACGTGGCGGCCTCAGTTTAAGTGTCGCTGGTGTCGCCAGGGGGATTCGTGTTCCTGGCGGAGATTAGTCCTGGGATACGAGGGTGCGGCTCGTTTCCCAGAACTCTCCCGCAACGTGGGCACACTCCCGGCTAATTTTCGAACTTGGGTTCCTTCGGTTTACCCCGCCCTTGGCGACCCCGCGCCAGGATGTCCGCACGGGCTCGACGAATCTGACGCCGAGGCATGAGATCTTCGAGCCGCCGCCCCAAGATCCGTGCGAACCAGGCGCCCCGGGGGACGGAAAACCATGTCCCTCGTCGTTTTCTTCCCTCTCCTTCCTTCCCTTTTTAATTGCTTCCCTTTTCGTTGATGATCGTACCGAAATTAGTTTTTCTCCCGTCCCTTGCCCTCGACGACGGCTCAAACCCCCAACAAGGCAACTCTCGGCCCAAAACAAGAATCCCCCGTTTCATCCGGGTGATTCAACCCCACGGCCAAAATCCTCGGCCACATCCCCAACTACTCTGATCGGCGTTCAGAGTACGGAACGACGCGCGGGGTGTGAGGTGCACATCACAATGTCGTTTCACCCAAGTTGTCGCACAAGAACTTTCCACCATGGCAACTGATACAAAATTAGAAGGTGAGAAAAAGGCCGATGCGTCATCCTGCGCTCGCTGAGTAGGAAATAGGAGCTCCAGAAGTAGGGAGGGTGAACAAAGCAGCCCAGAGGGCAAGATGGTGCTCCAGGATAAGAACTGACATAGCCACAGCCCCAGCAAACAGTGTTACAGTACTCA